ATCACCAAAGAAGGCTACAGCTTTTGGCATTCCAGATACCTACAGCATCTGGTTTGGGGTGGTCATGTAATATGTCAGAAGACAGAATGGCAAAGAAAGGAAGAGCTTGGGCTGTGTGGTCAGACAGGCTCAAATTTAAATCCAGCCTTCACCTCTTCCTAGCTCTGGGATTTGGGGCAAAGTCACTTCTCTGAGCCTCAGTTTTCTTGACTGAGAAAACGCAGGCCCAAGAGTGCTCATTTCATCAGGCTGTTGTTAGACTCTGAATATAAAATGTGTAGCCCAGTGCCCAGTCCTTGGAAAGTGCTCAGTAAGCGGTGACCATGGTGGTGCATCAAAGCTGATGACCTGGATTCTAATCTAGGCAAGCCCCCTGTTGTCTCCTGTGGACATCGGCTGAGTCAGTGATTTGTAAGAGCCCTTGTATCTCTAACACCAATCATGTCTTCCCTGCAATTTCAAAACTGAGTAAGTATACATTTCCTAAATGAGGGTCACTGAGGGCAATTTTTAAAAAATAGAACTGTAAAAAATTGACAGCCAGGTAATTCATAGTTTCTCTCTAGAACAAATAGGAAAGCGAATCTCTGCTACCAACTTGGCCTCAGGCAGGCTCCTGCCCCTCTGGCCTCCTCTTAGAATAAGGAGAGGGGCGCCTGGGTGGCGCAGTCGGTTAAGCGTCCGACTTCAGCCAGGTCACGATCTCGCAGTCCGTGAGTTCGAGCCCCGCGTCAGGCTCTGGGCTGATGGCTCAGAGCCTGGAGCCTGTTTCCGATTCTGTGTCTCCCTCTCTCTCTGCCCCTCCCCCGTTCATGCTCTGTCTCTCTCTGTCCCAAAAATAAATAAACGTTGAAAAAAAAATTAAAAAAAAAAAAAAAGAATAAGGAGATGGGGCTAGAAGCTGTTTTGGACCCTGTTGGCATTGACTGGTTATGATCTGCTTATAGTGATGCATAGGGGTCTTTGCCTCCTCTCCTGACCCTCATCTGGTTTATCTTCAACTCCATGGCTTAGGTTCTGATGTCTGATATTTTACCTTGTGTTTTTAGCCCTGTGCAACTTCTTGATATATCATTTTTTTAAGCTTTATTTTGAAGTAATTTAAAATGTACTGAAAAGTTGCAAAGACAGCATAGTGAGTTCCTGAATACCCTCAGGAATTGGCTTCTTTTAATAGTCACCTCTGTGTGATCATGGTATGTTTGTCAAAATGAAGAGATTAATATTGGTATGTTACTCTTAACTAAATGACAGACTGCATTTGAATTCACTGCTTTTTCCACTAATGTTCCAGGATCCAATGCAGGCTGCCACACAACATTAAGTCATCGTGTCTCCTCAGTCTCCTCTAGTCTGATGGCTTCTCAGGCCTTTGATTTATCAGTTTTAAGCAGTTTCTCCAGACTGGCATGAGAGATAAGTGTTTTTGATCAATTACACACTCCAGTTTCCCTTTCCCCATCTTTCCCTTATGTTTATCTTACCTTTGGGTGTAATCCACATTCATTGCTTTTGTTATCTTTATGCGAATATTGTTACCTGTTGGATTCACTATGCATATTACACTTCCTCTTATACATAATTTTTTGCCTTATAGTTATTTTATTATTTGTTTTATTTTCCTTGAATTGACTAAATCTTCCCACACTCTCCAATAGTTCAGTAATAGACTTCCAATTTTATACATGATGGATCATGTCAAGCAATTTATCAGTTTAATTTTTTTCTTGGAAATCCCCCCCC